CTGTTGGGGAAACCGGAGCACCTGGAGTCCAGTGCTACGACATCTTCACTGCATGTCAGTGTGAGGTATGGACTAAATTGTGCTCTGGCAGCTAACAAAAAAATGACCGGTAAAGAAATAACATGTTAATGACAACAATACCCTAGACCAAGACCAGCACATCAATTCAAAATATCTGTGGGATTACTGAAAGACTGAAATGGAGAAATGTAACATCCAGCTTCAAAGATTCTTTACTGGACATAGAATATTCTTGAGATATAGCCGAAATTCACTCACTTACACACAGTATAGAGTCCGCCTTTGCGCAACTGCGGCGAGTTGCGTTTATTGAAATTGGCTATAAATACGGACCATCCTTGAGCGGAGACAGAGGAGACTTCACAGCCAGCCATCAAGCTTCCTTTCGTTTCTTTAATTTAATGTTTTGTTTTCAAGTCTTACTTTGCTCTAATTTGTTAATTGTTGGGTTGTTTAGTCTTTGGTTAGTATTGTATGTTGTTGGAGAACGTGAGTTATTGATTCTTTATTCATTCTTATTTAGTTGTGACACATGATCTGTTGAATTGTTTTGGTTGTAATAAATTTATTAATTTAGACAACTTAGTTCATGTGTACTCTTTATGTTGCGTTCCCTTCATGACTTAATTATTTTGATTTGTTTAAAAAAAAGGGTTCGTAACAGAAACCCACACCAACACAGGGAGAACATGCAAACTCCAAACAGAAATGCCAACTGACCCAGCCGAGGCTCAAACCAGTGACCTTCTTGCTGTGAGGCGACGGTGCTACCCCCTGTGCCACCACTAAAAATACAACCTTTAAAAAAAAGAAGAAAAAAAAATAATGACTACACAGACAAGCCTTCCTTTTTGACACGCATATTGTCTATTGGGAACCTAAACCAGGAAGTCAATTAACTCAGCTCTTGGGATTTGATAAATGGGTAAAAGAGGGTGAGACGAGGATAACAGCTTTTTCTTGTGCAATTCATTCTGCTGTCTTCCTCCACTCACCCCATCAGTCATGAACATATTACACATTCCTCCAGTGTCCGCAAGCCCTGATTAAGAGTCCACCCAAACTCTACGACTCCTGACCGACCATGAATATATCCAACATCATATCAATGCAATCAGTCACTCAAATCTTTATATATCACCAACTCAAGTTTCTCTTCCAATGGCAAATGCGTATCATCCTACTGGTATTGCTTGGATCATAAATAATTAATTACATAAGTTTTATTTTTAATTGAAGCTTTTCAGGTGCATTAATCGTAATGGTGTGATTAATGACGCCCTGCCGTTTCGAAAATTGCAGTACTATATACGTCTTCCTCTAAATTAAAAGCCATTTGCATGAGAATTAAATCCTGCTATTATGAAGAAAATAAAAATCCAGTGCTCCATCCATCAGTGGTTCTTAGATGCAGTCATTTATTCTCCCACAGGATCAGGTAGCTCAATTTGCATACAAAACCATCAAAAAGGAATAATTAACTGTGACAATGGATATAAAAAAACCCACACACAATTGAGTTTACGTTGAACAAAGCATGAAATAGAGTTAGAAATGAAAAGCTAATTGATATCACAGAAAGTGTTTGCTGAGGAAAAGTGCTTATTGAAGGTTTAAAAAATGTAATTTAGTATTGAACTGATGTTTCGCTGCCACTTTTTTTGGGGGATAAATTCAAAAGAATTATCAATTATCAATTATGCTGTCTAGGTATGAAGAGAAAGTCATTTATCAATCTACATGCACAATTATTTTGAATGAAGCCTATTTTGTTTACTACGGCTGCACATGCAAATAGTTGAAGTCAGAGTTCTTAGCCCTCCTTTGATTTATTTTTTATTTTTTTATGTATTTCCCAAATGATGTTTAACAGTGCAAGGACATTTTCACAGCATGTCTGATAATAATTTTTCTTCTGTAAAAAGTCTTATTTGTTTTATTTTGGCTAGAATAAAAGCAGTTTAAAATTTTTATTTTACAATAAATTTCTGTTATTTACCGTCTTTTATTTTACTGTCAATTTCTTTCATTTAACATCTGGTATTTTACGATAAAATTCTGTCATTTAATGTCTGGTATTTTTCAAAAAAATTTTGTCATTTTCGTTTTATATTTTATGGTAAATTTCAGTCATTTAACGTCTGTTATTTTACGGTACATTTTTGTAATTTAACGTCTGTTATTTTGTGGTAAATTTCTGTCATTTAACGTATATTAATTTACGTTAAATTTCTGTCATTTTGGTTGAATTTTTTGCGGTAAATTTCTGTCATTTAACGTCTGTTATTTTACGGTCAATTTCCGTCAATTAACGTCTGGTATTTTACGGTAAAATTCTGTCATTTTCGTTTGATATTTTACAGTAAATTTCTGTTATTTAACGTCTGTTATTTTACTGTTAATTTCTGTCATTTAATGTCCATTATTTTATGGTAAATTTCTGTAATTTAATGTGTTATTTTATGGTAAATTTCTGTAATTTAACGTGTTATTTTATGGTAAATTTCTGTAATTTAACGTCTGTTATTTTACGATAAATTTCTGTCATTTAACATCTGGCCTTTTACAGTAAATTTCTGTCATTAAACATCTGTTATTTTACAGTCAATTTCTGTTGTTTAACACCTGGCTTTTTACGGTAAATTTCTGTCATTTAACATCTGCTATTTTACGGTAAGTTTTTGTCATTTAACATCTGGCATTTTATGGTAAATTTCTGTTATTAAACATCTGTCATTTTACTTTTTTTTAGCACCCCAGCTGTAATTTATTTACAGTGCATGGTGTCCTGGCCAAATTCCCTTTATAGGCCCTTTACCAACCATGGCCTCCTAATCCTTACCATCCAATACATTGACTCTTATCACTCTCCATTCTACCTATAGCTGGTGTGTGTTAAGCGCACTGGTGCAGTTGTCCTGTGGCTGCTGTTGCATCATCCAATGCACATTGGTGGTGGTGTGGAGAGACAAGCGCTTTGGGTGTATGGGCATACACGATAAATATGCTTTATACACACATTACATTTCATTACATTCTTGACAAAAATAAAGAATATAACCCATTTAAAGTAACAGATTTCTTTTTGAATACATTTTTAAATATGGTTTACTCCTGTAATAGCAAATTTTGAAAAACTTTGGAAAGCATATCTAAATGATTTCCGAAGGATCATATAACAGAACACAGGAGTAATGATACTGAATATACAGCTTTGCTATTACAGGAGTAAACCATATTTAAAAATTTATTCAAATAGAAATCCATTACTTTTAATTTAAAAATAAATAGAAATACAAACATCACAGCATTAAATTTAGCATTCACTGTAAAAATGGTCTTGAGCATTTTTGTTTTCTGATACAAATCAAAAATTGCGAAAAAAAGAAAATTGTTATAGCAAAAAAATTGAGTCTTGTTTTCTGAGCAACAAATGAGTACATTACATTACAATACAATACAAATGAGTATATTTCTAAAATTACTTTTCTTTTTGAATTGTCAAAAAATTGTTTTGCCCGGTATGACAGATATTCGTTGGATTTAATGAGAAACTTGTTTCATTTTGATCAGTTTTACAGAAAACAAGTTATCTTCAATCTTTCAATTTACAGTATGTTGATTAAGCGTCTTAAGATATTTGTAGATTTTGGACTGGAAAACTGAGGAAGAACATGACTTTTACAGAGAGATTAGTAGTTACGGTAGGCAAAGCTAATCAAACCTTATAAAATAAAGTAGAAAAACAAAGAAGATTTGTACTAAGTTGTTTTTTAAAAACTTTACATGGTGCTAATATAGATAAGTTATTTTTAGAGAACATATTGATGTAGTGCCATTGAAGATTTTTAGATTTCTTTTTAACCTAGTCTTAAAAATCTTACATTTACTTTTAGAAAACCCACAAAACTACTCTGATTACCATCAGTGACAAATACAGTGATATATTTTTCTTTTCAGAATTTTATGATGATAAAAATACAGCATTCATTTGTTTATCAGTTTATGAACACTTTGGGTTAGGGCTGCACAATATATCGTTTCAGCATAGATATCGCAATGTGATCATTCACAATAATCACATTACGAATATATGCAATGCTGAGTCTGCATTATACTTGATCATTTTGCAAGTGTTTTTTTTTTTTTTTTTGAGGCCTGTGACTCTGTGAGGGTTTTAAAAGCATTCAGGCGTAAGAAATTGTAACTTTGAAAAATGAACAACAATTAATTTTATCGAATTGTTTATAAAACAAAGACAGTATTAGTGCAGTATTATTTTACTTTTGATTGTTCAATTACTGTATAACTGAATACAGTTTGACTTCTCTGAAACAATAAAACACTTTATTTATTTAGTATCTTTTTCTATATTGAATTTGCTTGTAGATTTTTTTATTATATTTTATGCACTCCTATCCCAATCAATCTAAAATGATAACTTCATCCCAAATAAATATTCAACTCATCTACTATTTATATCATAATATATAAGTAACAGAATAAAAAATATCACAATGTTAGATTTTTCCAACATTGTGCAGCCCTACTTTGGATCTATCAAAAGCATCCTCATCGAATTTCGATTTGTCCTTGACTTTTGAACAGTAGTGCATGTCAATAAAAGATTACCTTGCTCTGCATATACATGAATGGTTTTGCAGAGGCTTGATGTAATGAAAGCAAACACTATATGACTCAGGAAATCTGGCACAGACACAACTACTACACACACCCACAACAGTTTGTGGTTGTCTGAGAATGTGCGGGTGTTCTGTGATAAGGGGAAACCCCTACACACTTCCAGCCAACTCCTGTGACAGCTGCACGCCTGCTGATGATTGACAGCTCAACAGACCAATCAGGCTGAAGACAGAGGAAGAACGGCCCGAAAATAGATACTGGCAACTGATTTCAACTCAGCTGTTTCACATCCAAAGTGGAGCGTTTTACTGCCAAATACCCACACAGGCACATTCTTTAAGAAAAAAAGAAGAAGTTTTATTTCTCGGTACAAAGATATACATATTCTGACATGCAACCAAACGATAATGCTTGCAAGTTATTTTTACAATTCTGTACACTTTCAAGTAGCACATTCTGCCAGCTAAAATGAGCAATTCGTCCCGTTAGAGGTGAGTCTGCATACAACATGCGCAGTTTATAAACGCTTCTAAAGGGATAGCTCATCCAAAAAAACTAAATAAATCGCTATTTATGTTTGTTTTTTTGTCCATACAATAAACGTAAATGGGGACCAGTGTTGTTTTAATCCTTATTCTTATCATTGTATGTGCAAAAATTGTAAACATTCTTCAAAATATCTACTTTCACAATAATAATAATAATAATTCCAGTAAACAATATTAGATGATGATTATTATTATTATTTGGGTGAACAATCCCTTTACTAAAGCCAACAAGTGTGTTAAAACACTGGATATATGCATAGTAAATCTACTCAAGCTCCCTAAATAAAAGCCATATCTGGACCTAATGCATTAAGCCTCATCGAATCGGGAAGAAATCTTGAATAAGGCAAAATAATTTCTGAGGATATCAAATAAACAATGTGTAAAAAGTAGAAAAAGAGCTTTCAGAAAAGATTTGAGAAGACTGGTATTTTTAGACTAGCAGTTAAGACTTGTCTGTTGTCTGAGGTAGACAGCTGGTTAAAAACCGGCTGCCCGTTGTGTGCGAGCACCTGATATTGGGCAGATAATTGACCTCCGTCCCCCTGAACTAGACCTCCCTGGCCAGTCTAGAGCCCTAAAAAGCAGTTTCCAGGGCTTCAGCTGTTGTGAATACAGCCTGAGCAGCATTTTCACACACACAGTCTGTCATCAGCTATAGGAAGACACGCATGTACATCTCCGTCCGGGACGTCCTACCTCTCGCCTGCTAACACTCGGCTACGCTTTGGTTAAATATTATTATCCACAGCACATTTATATGCACAAAATTTACAGAGCAGTGCTTCGGTTGCTTGGGATATGGAAGTAGAACTACGGTCAAGCGTGGACTCTAAACTGCCCATGCTTGAGTGGCCCATTTCCCCCTTTTCCCTCCCCTTTCCCCACATGCACCTCCTCGGCCTGTCAGAGTGCATCATGGGAACACTTCAGCCTGCCAGCAGATTGTCCAAGGCTGCCAACAGCACGGATGAATAACTTCTATTCATCATTATCTGAGAGAGAGAGAGAGAGAGAGAGAGAGAGAGAGATAGAGAGGGAGAGAAAAGGGGAGAGAGAGAGAAACAGAGGAACTGTTATGGAATGATCAACTCTGTCGCGAGGCTGAGATCTGAAGAAAACTTCCGGACTTTTTTCCTAATGTCAGAGGTCACAATAAAGTGAATAATCAGGAGTTAGCCTTGAGCACACAGTGTAAATGGCAGGAATACCCTCACATCGGTCAGAGGCTGCTGCTGAATACACAAGCAGACATATGTTTGTCTCTGAACCCAGATGATGTGATCTGACCCAGATGCCCTGGGACTGCTCAGAGGCGTAAACACGGAGCATCTAGTGCCGCATGCATCTACGGCAAGACCAGGCACTGCTAGTTACAGATAATCAGTTTGATTCTTACTAATTAGTGAATGGCAAAACACATTAAATCTGAACTGAGAAATGATTTTGCTTCCATGTATTTTTTTTACTTATATTAAATGCCATGTGAGTATTATATTTAATGAGAATAATATTAAATAGTATTAAAAGATGCTCTATAAATAATTTTCAAATATATACCATATTTAAAATCATATGAAAGATGTTGAACATGAGCAAGAAAATTTTCACAGTATGTCTGATAATATTTTTTCTTCTGGAGAAAGTCTTATTCGTTTTATTTCACCAAGAAAAAAAGCCGTTTTTATTTTTTTTAAAAAAAAACATTTTAAGGACAAAATGATTAGCCCCTTTAACTAAATTTTTTCAATAGTCAACAGAACAAACCATCATTACACAATAACTTGCCTAGCTAACCTAATTAACCTAATAAAGCCTTTAAATACCACTTTAAGCTGTATAGAAGTGTCTTGAAAAATATCTAGTCAAATATTATTTACTGTCATCATGACAAAGATAAAATAATTACGCTATTAGAGATGAGTTATTAAAACTATGATGTTTAAAAATGTGTTGAAAAAAATCTTCTCTCTGGTAAACAGAAATTGGGGAAAAAATAAATAAAATATTATAATTCATATAAATGCAATATGTAAATCACTTATTAATATTAATAATATTAATAATAATTCTAATAATAATAAGAATTTCTGGGCACTCAATTAATATTATTCAGTGCTTCCCACAGGTTTGAAATATACTTGTAGCAGTAGCCGGATTAAAACACACCTTTTAACTACAGCACATAAATTGTTAACTATATGCAACAAACAAAACATAATTTGATTAATAATTTTAACACAATTTTTTATTATTATCTGTTATAAATATTTTCTAATCAATGGGTCAAAGTAAAAAATAAATAAATTTTCTTTTCTCTTTTATTCTATTCAGTAGCCATGTGCACCCACTTACAGGTCAAATCTGTCTCTCTCTATCTCTTATTCAAGTTCAGGTTGCTTTATTGGCATGACATTTTGTACAGTAATGCTAAAGCATTTTAGATGCATAAAATGTGTAATATATTGACCTCATCAAATCAATAAAATATACAGCAAATAAGAAATAAATGACAGAAAAAATTATAAAACCAGACATTATCTCTAAAAATTATAATAATTACAAGAATAAATTGTGTAGATTATTTAAATAAGTTGTTTAAATAAGTAAATGAGTTGATTGCCCATTTCTAACGGTGTACAAATATTCTGCAGCCAATTTAGATTAATTAATTAATTAATTAATATCTCTCTCGCTACTTTGCGCATAAAATTAATGACAGCTTAAAAAACACAAGCAAAATATAATCCCAGGCATTTTAGTAGATTTAGAAACCCTGGCCAGATGCAAAAAGTTGCAGATCTGTTGAGAGTTCTCGTGCACACAGAACGAGCAGTAAAAGAGAAAAGATTTTTCACTGCTTAATCGACCGCGGATGTTTATTTATTATAGGTGGATGAAAAAAAAAATGTAAAAGGATGATAATAATAGTAAAAAAATGTGTCACTAAATATACTTGGGCAGCCTTTAATACACCTGGGCAGCCTGCCCAAGTAAAGTATATGTGTGGGATACACTGATTATCAATTTTAATTTGAATGGGTGTACTGGATATACTGGACACGTTGTGTGCAAACTGTTAATAACTTTTTTTTTTTTTTTTTTACAAAGATCTGATATTTTGCTTTCTTGTAATTTAAAATAAATATACTGTCAATTAAGATATTATTTTGTCAAAAAAAATAAATCATTAGTTGTGACTAGAAAAAAGAAAAATCAAGGAAATTGGTCTTCTTTTTTTAACTAATAGTCATTTAATGGTCCAAATGACATCATTTCTATTTATATTAAGAATAAATGTCACCAGTCGTTTGCAGAAGTGCATAACTCTAAATTGTAAATCTAGAGAAACTAAGAATGCCCAAGTGCTTTATTTATGAATGAAATATAAAAAAAAATTATATATGAAAAGTGCTCATGTCATTTTATATAGCGCTTGATTATTTGCATTGAATGACATAATTGCTCACTTCTACACCCATTCATGTTATATTCCTCCACTGCTGACTGATCGACTGAATGAATTGCAGTCTGTATGAAGATATTCAGAAGAAATGGTGCATGAACACATCACAGAGTGAGAGTATGTATGTGTGTAAACACTTTACCTTCCTGGTAAGCTCCATCTGCCATCACCAAATGGAGGATTTTAGGATACAAGTGCTGGTGCTCAGTTCCCAAAATGTTTTGCACCATGCTGGAGCCCATTGCAATGTTTTCATCCTCATCCTCATGAATAGCCTAAATAAACACACAGAAATCACACAAATAAGGATCTAATGCTGGATAAAACCATACAAAATAAACTGTTTAAGCCTCCTTAAAAAGTCTTTCATAATTTACTCGCTTTCATGTTGCTACAAAATTGTATAGCTTTGGGTAAATAAAGTAATTTGTCATAATCTTTTATGTTCCACAAAAAAAATGCAAATCAGACAGGATTGGAACAAAAGGAGGAGTAAACGAACAGGATTTTTGGCTGATCTATTCCTTTAAGTCGAGAGCTGCAGAGTCATTATCACCACAGGGTCTCTTAAGTTTTAGAGCAACTGACAGCAAAAAAATGCAGCAAATTACAGCAGTTTATTGCACTTCCAGTGTGACAAACTATAAAAAAACATTACATTTAACATTCTTAAAGGTTAAGGATACCATCTGTATCTAATTCCCAGAATGTTCCCTATGGCTAAAAACAAAACTTAGCGTTTAAAATTTATGAGTGTCCTCATCTAGACGTGCACGTCTGCATTGTTATTGGTGGCGTTTGACCACTAAAGACATCTTAGATATTTCCGGATTTCCGCAACGGATTCATCTGGGCACAAAACCTCCGAATCCCACTGTAGACACACAGTAAGACTTGACATTTAATTCAGACCTTGATCTTGTTGTAGGCCTGGATGAAGTTCTCAAAGCCCATGGCCTGCTCTAGATGAAGCCGCAGCTCCTCCAGACGACTGAAGATGCTGTCCTGCTGTTCCAGCTCTTCGTCGTCCTCCTCCTCGCTGCCATCTGCACTCAAAAAAACAAGAAATCACACACTTCACACAGTGGGAGTGCATTGTTGTGGAATACTGGCTGATAATATGCTGATCCAAGTCAGGACTGAGAGTGTTATTTACCAGCATCCTTCCACACGCTGCAGTCACACAAAGCCATCAATCACCAGGCTTAATTAGACAGAGCCGTATCTTTAGCTCAATAAACACAATACTTGTTCACAGTTCTAGTCAGCTTAGCAATAAAGATTTGAACATGAGTTGTGTTTGGGAGGCATTTCCTCTATTGTCTTTGTGGATGCAGTTAGCAACTGTTCAGAGTTTGTTTTGAGCAATTATTGATGTAGTTGCGTTTCTGGATTGTGTCCTCAATTGTGATATTTTCATGGATGCTTTTGTACTGTTGTATTGTCTTTTTTAGACTTTTTTGCCGTTCACAGATTACATTACATTTGGGGTGTGTTTGTCTACCAAGTTCAAAAGGTATGGTTTACTGCTGGCTGATTTAACAGATATGGTAAGTTTTGTGCTGTATTAGTTGCTGACTTTATAGCTGTTGCTCTGTTTTAGCATGCTGCATTGTTTTATTGGATATGGTATCAATGTCACTCCTCTCTCGAGCGTTTGAAGCTATTAATGTATTTTAGCTGGTCTACTGGGTTTCGATCTATTTGTGGGTTTGTTTTCTGATAATCGATCTGTAAGTGGAACTGTTTGTAGTGTTTAAGTGTCTACATGGGTATAAGGCTGAAACACACAAAAAATTGTTGTTAAATATTCCAGAATGTCAGACACCACAAACAAAAGTATAAAAAAATTAAAGGTTTAACTGTTTTGCTTCTATAGTGTGTGCACTACCTGACAAAAGTCTTCTCGCCTATTCATGTTTTAGGAACAACAAATAATAACTTGACTTCTAGTTGATCATTTATTATTAGAAGAGATTTGTATGGAAGGCAAAGGCCTCTAGATTATGCTTATTTTACCAAAAGAAAATATGATCATGTCTTGATTTTTAATTATTTAATTAGGACAGTAAGGTGTAGTTTTGCGTGGACAAAAGCCTTGTCACTTAATGTACAGTATAGAATATAGAGTCATGGTGCAATAGAAACAAAGTATGACTCCCATGAGCTTTGACGACTGCATCCATACAGTACATCTCTGCAATGACTCAAATAACTTATTAACAGTCATCTGGAATGGCAAAGAAAGCGTTTTTGTAGGACTCCCAGGGTTCATCAACATTCTTTAGACTCAATTTCAATGCATCCATCTTACACCAGACATGCTCAATCTTCATGTCTGGTGACTGGGCTGGCCAATCCTGGAGCACCTTGACCTACTTCACTTTCAGGAACTTTGATGTGGAGGCTGAAGTATGAGAAAGAGAGCTATCCTGCTGAAGAATTTGCCCTCTCCTATGGTTTGTAATGTAATGGGTATCACAAATGTCTTGATACCTCAGGCGGTTGATCTGCATCCACTCTGCAGATAACTTGCATGCCCCAATACTGAATGCATCCCCAAACCATGATTTTTCCTTCACCAAACTTGACTGATTTCTATCACCTTCTGCCACTTTTCCAAATGATCAACGAGAAGTCAAGTTATTATTGTTGCTTTTACAACTGGAATTAACGACAAAACTTTTGTCAGGTAGTGTAGACATCTGTCGATAACCGGTTTCAAGATTTAACGTAGTTTGAAAAAGTCAAGGTTTTAAAACCGCTAACATTTTCTCTTTTACTGTTCCTACAGTATATGTAGATTTAATGCGTGTTTTTTACCACTATTTAGTTTTTTTTAGGGCATCTCCAGCAGAAAAGGACCCTCCACATCAAAAGCTTCTGGTCAGCCCATGATACAGGAAACATCTGAAAAACATCTTCCTTATGCACCGGCATCCAAGCATGCTATACACCTGAACAGTGCAGTTGCTTACTTTATATCCAAAAAAAGAGAAAGATATGCAAATATGCCTTTTCAAGATGTAAATAAATCTGTGCTTTTGAATTTAATAAAGATAGCAGAAGTCAATGATTTATTTTAATTATTTAGTCTGACACCTTTACCGTTTCAAAATATTTAAAAAAACATTTTTTTAAATAAAATATCTTGTGTTTAATGGGGATTTTTTTTTACCAAGACATTTAAACATAACATATTTCAGAGCAGTTTTCACAATACTTTGATACTGTAAACTGTGATATTTTTATACATTGTTATCATATCGTCAAGAATCTTATACCGGTTCATATCCAAGTGTGTGGTGCGCATCAATACAGAACAACACACGTCAAGAGATTTTTAAGCACCAAGATTTGAACAAGGTCTGAAATCTTAAAATAACTCTTGAGACATGAGAGTAAACATAGCGGACAAAGGGCAGGAATAAATTGCAATGATAGTGCTGTATAAACACTTATGTTGCCAGAAATTGATGCTGATCCTCCATCTCTGCTGTCCAAATGCTTTTGTGCAGTGCCATGAATGCATGCATTATGCTTCCATCTTCTGTCAACTTGCATTCTGATTGGATATGGTTTAATTTCACCAGCTAATCTCCATATCATACATGCAGGGGTTCTCTCCACATATTGGAATTTCTGGTTGATAATATTTAAAATGTTCAACATGTTGAATATTTAAGATTTGCTATTGGAGGGCCTCCAATTCTTCCGAGCAGCAGGTACTTGCACACATAGGGCTCAACCCTTTTTAGTCTTGGATAGATAGTGCCCTTCTTAAATGATCTGAAGTGCCCCCCGCGCAGAGTTTTCTCCACTATGTCTATCATACATCAGCTGTGAGATCGCCACTGACGCCTGCTGCTTATCAGTGTCATCTGTGAAGAGCGCAGCGCGCAAGAGCCAATCGCAACCGTTTTTGTTGAGGGTGTGACCAATCAAAGAGGTGTAAGAGAACAAGACAAGGACCAGAAATTGAGCTGGATATTTATATTTGTTTATATTATTTGCTTAATGCTCGTTATGTTTAAAGTTACAGTTTATATATCTGACTGTTTGTATTAAATGACAAAATTGTATTACAAATAATATATAAATATAAATATATTTATACATTTTAATACAAGAACTGCTGCTGTGAAGAAAATATAAAACTGTGTATGAAAAGCACCGTCAATGCACCATGATGCACCGAAATATCAAATTGAACCGAATCGTGGCATGATAATCGTAACCAACCGAACCAAATTGAACCGTGAGGCTAGTGTAGGTTCACAGCTCTATTATAGTACTACACTTGTAGTTCAGTCTCTGAGCTCTGTAGCTGTGTTTACATTACCTGACTGCCACTCCTCATTGAGCTGTGCTTCACTGCTGTTCTGCTCTTCATCATCTTCAAATTCCATTCCATTTGTGACTGGGCCTCCTGGTTCTTCTTCACCATGGCTAACATCCTCATCATCTTCAGCCATTCCATTAAAAGTCTCTTCCTCTGGGCTGCGTTTGTCATCACCAGCACTAGCTAACCCATTAAGACCAGCTGGCTCTTCATCGGCCGGGCTGCCATTAGATCCACCACCCTCATCCTCTTCTTCATCATCATCATCTTCACTGTGCTGCTCCTGAAGAAGCCTCTCCATAGATGCTCTGAGCTCTCTTAAATCGTCATCCTCATACACACTGACAGAGAAAGAGACAGATAAGTGACACACTGTGTGTGCACACGTACGCATATATTAGGTTGTGTGTGTGTGTGTGTGTGTGTGTGTGTGTGTGCGTCTTACTCCTCAGGTTCAGACTGCTCATCTGCTTTATCTTCCAGATCTTCAATTTCTAGGTTGCTGTCAGGAGCGGCTGCACCTTCAGGTCCTGTAGCATCACTAAACACCTTACTGAGGTCTGGTAAGGAGCACGTCCTTAGCATCTGATAAAAACACAAACACACACATACACAGTGATTCAATCGTCACAAATCCGATATCCGCACAAGAAATTGAAAATAGCATTTTTCAAGGTCTTTTGAAACAGTATGTGTACGCAGTCACAAGCATTTTATTTGGTACACCTGCTCAACTGCTTTTAAATGCAAGTATTTAATCGGCCAATCACACGAACAAGAAACTGCAGTCATTTAGACATGTAGATGTTGTTAAGGTGATGTACCGAAGGTGATCTACAAACGTCAGAATTGAAAATCAAGATGATTTTGAATTTGGTGCCATGGTTGTTGACACTAAATCACCTTGTATATTTATTCTGATCCACGGATATTTTCACATAGAACCATCTCTATGGTTTGCAGAAAATAAGAAACATAAGAAACATTTGAATGGCACCTCTGTGGGCCTCACTGATGCCAGAGGACAATGGCCAGAGTAACTCAAGAGTAATTGGCAAGAGTAACTTAAATAAAAACTCATTGTAACTAAATGTCAGCAAAAAAAGAATCTCTGAACACGTTTAAGTGATCTAGAAGGTCACAGATTCGAGTCCTCACTGGCATGGTTTGTTAGTGGTGAGAATGAATGACCAGCTTTTATACCAATCTCAGTACCAAGGCTGAAGTTAGTCCCTTGAGCAAGGCACTAGGCCCTTATTTGCTCCCCAGGCAGCAATGCTTTGCCTCAAGATGTGTCTGTGTGTGTGTGTGTGTGTGTGTGTGTGCACTTGGATGAGTTAAATGCAGAGAACAAATTCTGAGTGTGGGTCACCAGACTTAGCCACGTCACAACTTTCACTTTCACTTTCATAAAAACAACAAACAGAGCCTACAGTTAACACTGAGTTGCCAAAATTAGACAACAAAAGACATGAAAAAGATCTGGTATGTTGAGTCTTGGCTTCTGCTGCAACATTTTCTTTGAATGGTATAGGTCATAATTTGGAATAAACCATATGGAAGCATGGATCTATCATGCACTGTATTGATTGTTCATGCTGGTAATGGTGAGGAGGACATTTCTTGACACAATTAGCCCCCTTCACATCAATAGATCACTGTTTAAATGCAACAGCCTAAGTGAGTAGTGTTGCTGACCATCTTGTGATGCTATTCCAAGCAAGATAATGTCCCATCATGCCACACAGCTTACAATAACTTGACAATGGGTTAGCTACAGTAGAACAGTCCACATGCACAGTTTCAAATCAACAGAACACCTTTTGGATAGAGAAAGAGAGATGATCTTCAAGGATGTGCAATCTAGAAATCTGCAGTAAATGGGGTAATCCAACCTGATAAACTTAAGGTGAACCTATGTAAGTAACTGGAAGGTGTATTATAACATTTCAAATGCTGTAAGCTGTAATACTTATATTCATGTAGTCACAGCCATGAGCATGCAAATATGAGAGCAAACATTTAAGAGTTCATTTTGGTACTGAGCAAGAAGTTCAGCAAACATTGTGCTCTGGGGCAGCACCTGTGTCTCTGCATAGACAATAGGATCCTAATGTTAGACACAAGCATTTGAAGTTTATTTTTAACAATGTCCCTGTTCATTTCTGTCTGACCTCCACAATTTGCGCAGCACATTTCAGTATACATTGTTTTGTTAACCTGTCACAATGTAATGCAGGCTTTGCAAAGAGGTCGTCATTGAAGGATGAGGCAGAGCCAGCTATTTTATACCCGACAGCAAATTTAAATAAGCATTGTTTTTCATTTTATTTCATGAAAGTGGCAGAGGCAAAGGAGTCTCTATAAAGCAGCAAGATAAAATACAAAAGTATTGACTGCTGCTCTTTCAAAGACTTCCAAATAGTTAATTAGTCCTCCACTAAAGTCAGGGTTTTGGGCTAGATAATACAGTATATTCAAGCAACCAGGGCAATGTTCTGACAATGTAATTTAACCAGTGATAAAACTTATAAATCTTTTCAGTCAATGTGGATGTATATGTAATGTGTGTGTGTGTGTACATATATACATACATTTACATATACATATATGTAATATATATGTACTTCTCTCAATATATAAATTTACATACTCACCGGCCACCTTACTAGCACTGGCCTGGGTTGGACCCCTATTGCCTTCAGAACTGCCTTAATTCTCTGTGGCATAGATTCAGCAAGGTATTAGAAATATTCCTCAGAGATTTTGGTCCATATTGACTAGATAGCATTACGCAGTTGCTGCAGATTTGTCGGCTGCACATCCGACTTTCCCCTTCCACCACATCCCAAAGGTATGTATATATTATAGGGTCCTAAATTTTTTTTATTCCCAAATTACATAATATGGTCCTTTAATCAACTTGAATTGGATAAAAAATTGCCCAAACACAATCTGAAGCCATTTAATCCTAATCGTGTTCAGGAATAAATAAAATAAAATAAATAAAAAACGTCGGCATTTAACACTCAGCAGGGACTTTGTCTCCACAGAGCAGGGGAAGGCTTTAATATCGGTGAAGTCATCTATCTCAACTACAGTCGTTACAGAGATGCACTGTGTTCTCACACTTGCACAGAGGAGTGCTAAACTACTGATTAAACAGACTGACAGTCTGCGCTGAGAAAGACAGCCTTTAGTGTGCGCGTGAGTGTGTGTGATCTGCTTGTCCAGTTGTCCAGAGTGCAGGCGAGCCAAAAGGCCAAATGTGCGTGTAGTTTTGTGAAAGTGTGGGCGTGGGTGTGAATTTTAATGTGCTTTTGTGAGGGCAAAGAAAAGCATTTGTGTATGAGCTGCTGTGGGGTGGGCGAAAAAAGTACACAGGCCAGCGCAAAGTCCTTTTAGTTTACTGGCACATCAAGGATGTGGAAGAATCGCATTAATAACGCTCCACTCCGGAGCTCCAATACACACACATACACACTCAGCAGTCCTTCCAGCACAGCAATGCCCTGAGGCACATCCACACTCATACATATGCCTATCCCTGCATGCACACACCATTATGTGCACACAAACACAAATTCCAGTCTGTGGGAATCAAATCACTCCAAACAAATACTCTGCAAGATGTACAAATCTGAGCTCCTCATCATTCGGTGCTAAGTGCTACACGCTATCAAAGACTTCCATCTGTTTCTTCTGCTATAATCCCATCTCTTTCCTCCTCAGTTTTTCTATAGCTCTTTCCAGAGTTTTCTTCCTTCTCTACTGTAAGATTCTGCTCTAATATGTGTGATGAATGGCAGGAGTGGGGTCCTCTATTAGGATACGCTGTAATAGTCTCATATCTATCAGTTAAGACTGACACAAATGTAAATTCTCTCACCGATTTACCATAAACTAAATGTAAAACAATAACAACACTGTGGTAACACTTTTCATGCTACCATTAGATAACAGCTCATGCGGTAAGAAATGAGGACTTGTTACAGTATTCATCAACATGTTATGCTTAGTTAATAACATTAACATTAATAATTTACAATTAATCATATTATAGGCTTATTATAGGCGGTTATCAAAAATAATTTATATAATACAGAGTAGAGATGCACGGTTTACCGGTAGTACTGGTAGTATCACCATACTATGGCTCCAAAACACTGGCATGGCCACTGTAGTTTGTAAACAGTAGTATCGTCATTAATGGTTTATCTAAAAGAAGTTAATGTTGTGTGTGGAAAAGTCACTTAAATGTTCACACGTTTGTATAATAATAGACCATTTTATTTGAATAGTCTGTGGAACCTTTGAAGGTCATAAAACTGTAAAATTTGCACCTTTTGTAGTACACTGTTAGACCTTACCAGGCTTTTTTACAGTAGAACACTGGCAACACTGTTGCCAGCTATTCACTGTAAAAGTTTGGTTACAGTAAGTAACTGGCAACAGTGTTGCCAGTTAATTACTGAAACTGAACCATTACAGTGAGTGGCTGGCAACAGTGTTGCCAGTTGTTTACTGTAACCGAACCATTGCAGTGAGTAGCTGGCAACAGTGTTGCCAGTTAATTACTGTAATAGAGCAGTAGTGGTAACTAACTGGAAACTGTGTACAGTTAATTACTGTACTGTAGTGTTACAACTCACAGCATTATACTGCATACACAATAGTATGTCAAGGTGTTACTAAAATTAATTAGTATTTTTACCTGTTATTAATTCTTTAAATTAATTAAGTTGTAAATTCTGACAAATTTATTTTATTGTTTTGGCAGCAAACAAATATAAAACAGAAAATGTATAACAAAATTAAGAAATCAGCAGATATAAATATCATCTTGCATATTACTGAGAGCCAGAGGTCTGCACAGCAAGGCTGCAGTCAAACTAACGTCTAAGCATGCAAAATTCTGTCATATGGCTCTGCGAAAAGGAGTGGGATTAAACAAAATATTTAGAGATTGAAAAAGCAAGCAACTGGTCCATAATTTTTGTTCAGAGAGGTCATGGTTTGATCTTTGATTAGTCTCAAGCAATCCCATGATGTGATTTCGCATTTCAGAGTTCTCCAAGCTTGAACTCTTCAATGCTGCAAACTGTAAAATTTTTCGCATGAGTTTGCATTCCAGGTCTGCAGCATTCACATGCGTATGAATGGAAGTCTAAAGGGAGAAAAGTGCAATGTGACCGGGACTTTAAGCTGTAACTCTAATTAACACACCTGATAAAACTAATTAAGGCTTGTTAGAAATCTACAGGTAATGTTGAAACAGGGTGGGAACTAAACTCTGCTGCCCTGCAGTTCTCCAGTAACTTGAAGTTTGACCCCCATGGTATACAGCAGGGGTGCTTAATCCTGTTCCTGGAGAGCTACGTTCCTGCAGATTTCAGTTGCTACCTATATCAAACACACCTGCCTGTAATTATAACGTGGTGTTCAAGTCCTAATTAATTGGTTTAGGTGTGTTTGATATGGATAGCAACTGAAATCTGCAGGAAGGTAGATCTCCAGGAACAGGATTAAGCACCCCTGGTATATAGCATACTTTTAAAGCAACTGCTAACATTTATCACAATCAC